AACGCAGTTCTCCTACGTCACTGAATCCACTCCAAGAATAGATTTCCCCATCATCATGACTATTACCTCTGCAAATACACCTTCACAGAGACACTGCAGACCTACCAGCGAGCTAATGTATGCAAAAGCGTGAATTCACTGCCAGTGTAATAATAAATCCTCTTTTAACGGTGAATGTGGACAATGAACCTCGCAAAGTAGACTTTGGAGATGCCGACTCTCCAGTCTACTAGAACAGCAGTGTGCATTGCATACACGCACAAACAAGGCAATACTGACCGAGAGCACATCTCCCACCAAGTGGACACTACCCGTCACCAGAACGTCAATTCTAGGTGGTTGAACAGTGCCGAAATTGAGAGTTAGTGGTGATGCCCCATCCCAGGTCTTAAGCGACCTCAGGAATTGGACCAACTCATCACCCACTAACTGGTAGGCGGGGGTCGAAGATTGCAACTCCTCCCAGACGTCCTTGCATTGACATGGACAGGGTAGCTTGGGCTCAATCCTAGCTTTGGGAGAGAAAATAAGTGGTCGGAATGTCATTATTCACGAGACTGGTGGGAACAGCCAATTGCATGGCGACACTCAGGGGTGACCTTTGTACGGCCAAAAATATGATTGGTTTTGAATGCAAATCAGATAGCACTCCCTGTTTCAAATCAACGTTCGAAACTGGAAGGTAGTAGAGGAGTTCACGCGGCAAATTCTTCAAGTGGTTCATTTGAAGCCTAAGAAAGGCTGGAGTTCCTTGACAAAACATTTATTTCTAATCCTAATTCACATTCCAATCGTTGAGTTTCAACAGGTATCAGAATATCTCAAATTCAATAGGTATTTAATTAAATTTACCGTTCCCACAGCAACAGACGTCAAGTAGAGAAATGAGAGCGAATAAAATGTAGCATTAAACAGCCATATCTGAGCGGTAGTGACGATAGAAATGGTAGAATTTTAGGAAAACACCACACTCGCTACTTAGGACTCTTCCCAACTCAAACTACAGATGACTGCTACTTACTACTTTGTTTATCAAGCATTTGCGAATCATGGTCTGCGTGATTTTGTATAGAGAAGAGGTCCGCATACCCAAACCACCAGCGATGAAGCCGGCGAAGTAGACAACGTCAAAGCGAAGCGTCTACAATTCAAACCACTGCTACTTATTATTTGCAAGTAGACCCTGTTCTGCACAAAGCATGCATGTTAGCAAGCAAGTGATGAATTGGGAATATTGGCATTAAGTAGACGCCTCACACCTCACCTCCAGCCGTCTCAGCATAGCCAGTGGATTGCGATTTCCAGTTACAGTGAACAGCAAAATGCGCAATGTACGGTGCCTAGAAGAGCAATGTCATGTGAACTGGTGACTGAAGGGAATGCAAATTTACTTTGCGTCAGAAGGTGAA